TTGATTTTCAGTGCAGAGAGTGTGTTTCGCGCGTGCCCGCTCGAGGAAACTACGCCCCTCATGTCGGACCTTCTATCGAATGGAGTCCGCTGACTTCCGTTTTGCTTTAGTAGAAAGACAACGCCAAGCGTTTTGCACATATTCCTATACAAATAACGGGGTCTGGAGGCCCAGAGATTTCACAGAAAATGCATAAAGGAACAATTGGTTGGTGCGCGCCCGCTCAAGGATGGCGCGCCCTGCGCGCAGAATCATCGAGGATGTCTCGAGCGAAATGAATACAGTATTTTGCAGGCCTTGAAAGACTTGGGCGCCCCAGGATGCACCGGGGGGTCGGGAGTGCGGGCGCACCGTTATTTACCAGTGATCGTGGCCCTGGGAGCGCGGACGTAGCGCAATTTACTAAGGGTCGTGGCCTCGGGGAGGCGGACGCATCGTAATTCTTCACGCTTCGAGTATCCCGACCAGCCCATTCGTAAACCCTGCCCATGAAAGTTGACGGAAGAAGGGACGCGGGCAACGAGGGTGGATAGAGAGATTTTGGGGAGCAAGGGGGTGGCCTTGGAGGGCTTCCTTGGGCCATCCCTGAGGCCCGCGTAGGGGCCAGGGAAGGAGGAGAAGGAGGAGGAGGAGGAGGAAAAGGAAGAGGAGGAAGACGACGACGACGATGACGACGAGGAACAGAAGGAACAGGAGAAGGAAAACGATGATGACAAGGACGAGGACGAGGACGAGGATGAGGAGGAGGAGGAAGAGGAGGAGGAAGAGGAGGAGGAGGAGGAGGACAACGAGCACGAGGACAACCCTCAAAATCGCCTCTTGGAGGCCTCTTGAGATTCGCTTGGGGGATGTAGGGGTCCTCATGGGGCTCTTTTGTAGGGTCTTGGGGCTCTCTTGGGGGCCTGCTAGGAGCCCTGGAGGGCCATTTGGGGCTATCGTGGCGGGCGCCGGTGAAAAGAGGGGGGGTCGTAACTTTTGGTGCCCCCCTGTGGCCATCGAAATAACCTTTGGGGGCCCTCTTAGGGCACTCTTGGGCCGCTCTTGGGTGCTCTTTGGGCCGTCTGGGGAGGCCGATTGGGTTCGTACTAAGCGATTTGGCGCTCCCCATTTCCGTTGCTATTTGGCTTCGGCCTGGATCGAGTCTCCCCTCGGTCGCGGCTGCCATGGCGGTCGATTGGCCACAGCGCGTCAAAGCCTTGCGAGCGCTCGCCCGCAAGCGCGGCGTCGACCAAGTCAGAGACACTACCTCCAGGGAGAATGTGATGGTCATGGTGACCGACTTGCGGAAACTGCCACTGCGAGAGGACTGGCAGCGGTTGGAGGACGTAGTGTCCGCTTACTTGGCAACCTTCCCTGACTACCAGCTCCCAGCAGGTTCCGGGGACCGCGCTTCTGAGTGGGTTCTAGGACATGAAGGATCTGAGAGTTTCTCAAAGACAAGAAGCTACCTGTGGGCAAGGCCGAGCTGAAGCGCCGGGTACGGATGGTGGTGCGGACCAAGAAGGCGAAAGAGACGTGCAATCGCACGCTGCGGAGCCTGGTGAAGACTGCGCAGGTAGTGATCAAGAAGAAGGGCGCCGCCTCGGGCCGCTGACCCGACCGCCTCAGATGATGAGGCCAAAAAGGCAGAATGATTGCAGACCGTTTACGAAAGTTTCTCGGACATCCTCATCAGCATGGGTTTTCATTATCAGCATCATCATCAGCATCATCAGTCCCAGGATGCAGGAGCGTCAGGAGTGAGCGGGTCGATATGAATACCCCCCTCCCCGTTAGGCGCACGTGGTCCCGTGCAATGTTATGCTGCACGCCGTTGGCTTGAGTGGGCCCAGCGGCAGATGGTGGGGGGCCTGTTCTGGTCCCTTACTAGTAATATCAACGCCAAGCGGCGTGGGAACCGGAAAATGCCACCAGAGTATAAAATCCATTCGCGCGGGACACTCTTCAGGATTTCCGTTGCGAACCGGAAAAGCACGGACGCAACGGAAATGTCCTAATTTACGCGTCGAACACATGGTTTTTTCGCGCGTATGGGCCGTCCGGGTGAACCAGGACCTCTTCGTGCCCAGCTGGTGCAGAGGTCAGGGAATGCCACCAGAGTATATCAATTCTTGCTTGGGGGGCATTGTGGCCTTTTCCGGCGCGCCAGAAAAAATCAAGCCCGCGCCGGAAATCATCGCCAGGCGCGCGCAACCCATTGTCTTTTTGCGGGTACGGTCCGCTCCCGTGCATCAGAAGGTAGGGCGGCTTGGCCGCATTCGTCGAACTGTTCTTGGGTGCAACGTCGGATGCCCTGCGGGCGATCGGTCGATTAGGAGGTTGGGACATGGGAAACACGACACCGATTCCTTTTCGGGGGTAGATTTGCGATCGCGGCACCGACGCTGGCGCATCGCAAGACACGTCGCCGTCGTCGCAGCAGGGTCCGACTAACATATTCGCGAATATTCTTGTAGACGGCATGTATTGGGCCTCTCATGTACCTTGAACCATCGTCGGTCATCTTGAGCCATCTTGGAAGCCATCTTGGAGGCCATCTCGGAGGCCCATTTGGGAGCCATTTTGGGCCCTCTGACGCGTCGCGAAGCCCACAAAAAAAACTTAATGGAGGGAGGGCAGGTACACCTCCTGGAAAAAGGAAAAGGTTTCTGGAAGAGGAAAGAGAGAGTTCAGACCTCCTTAGTCCTTAGTCCAAAGAGCTGTTGGGATTTACTAGGGATCGTGGCCCCGGGAGCGCGGGCGCAGCGTAAGTTGCAGTAGGATGTGGTTCGGGGAGCGCGGACGAAGCGTGATTAACGAGGGATCGTGCCACTGGGAGCGCGGAGGCAGCGTCTCTACAAGGGATTGTCTCCCTGGGAGCGCGGGCGCAGCGTAATTTACAAACGATCGTGGCCCTGGGAGCGCGGACGCAATTTAATTTTCAAGGGATCGTTGCTCTTCGAGTGCGCCTCCAGGGAAATTTACAAAGGGATCGTCGCCCTGGGTGCGGATCCACCGGAGACGACTTGCAGAGCAGGGTGAATCCTCTCGCACGTTCCGTGGCACTTCCCCTGGCGCGTCCCTTGGCACTTCCCCTGGCTTGCGCGTCCACAGGCACGCATGCGGCGCGTCCCCTGACACGCATCCCATGGCACCTGGGGGTGGACAGAACCCCCACCCTGACACGTCGATTCGTGATTTGTCCGCTTTTGGTTCTCTAAAGGGCGCCGTGGCCGTCATTGTCCAAGTTTGCGCCCGCCAGGTTTGGGCCCGAGGTTGTTTTCATTAAACCACGTTTTACTGAACGGGGTTTTGTCCATCCCCGAGGCACATTCCTTGACACGTTCCCTGGCGTGTGTCCCGGCGCTTCCACTGGCACGTCGCCCGTGGCACGTCTCCTGGCGCGTCCCTTGGCAACTCCCCTGGCTTGTGCGTCCACTGGCACGTCTGCGGCGCGCCTCCTGACACGCATTCCAGGGACACGCGCGTTCTGCAAGTCGCCATCCTTGGGGCGAGAAGCCAAAGTTTATGGCATACAGTGGGGGCCCATGCCAAGAAACACCCTGCTTGTCTCCATTGTGCCCTGGGTTTCTTGGGTCTCGATGGTTTTGCTATTGAAAGCGTGGCGATCCCACACTAAAATTCGAAGGACGTCCTGGGTTCTCAGGGTTGGGCTTCCTGTGGAAGGTCTCTTGTGGAGTGGCCTCCACTGTATGACACCTTGGTAGGACTTGCATTGGAATTGGCACTGGAACCGAGGAGTTGAGGGCTGGTTTCATGTACAGAAACCTGACCTTCTCAGCCCTGTGGCCCCCGAAGGGGGGCTGGCGGATTGGTTATTGAAAATTGGGCGCCCCTCTATGTTTAATGTTGTCTCAGATTGCAGTGTTTCGCATCGTAATTGCAGTTGGCCTGTACATTCGGTGGGCTGGGAGGAATCAGATGTGAGGAACGGGGGGGAAGGACGCGATTCCGTCGCTAGAGCGATTCCCCGCGCCCACCACGCAACGAGTTGCAAGATTCGGCTGCTCGATGTGTGTCTCTTCTTTTTCGGTGGAGTCGCGCAAGCGAAACTCTGCTTTCCATACATCCGCAAAGCAGGAACACTATGATAATGAATGCGAAAAAGAGGACTATGAGAAGTACGACGAGGAGGATGGCGAGGATAAGGAAGAAGACGCAGGATGCGAATTGCCTCCCGCGCATGAGGAAAACGATGATACATAGAATGGGAAGTACGTAGGAGGAAGAGGAGGAGGAGAAGAGGGGAAGGTGGTTTAGGAAGAGGAGGAACAATAAGAGAGACGGGAAGAGGATGCGAAGGGCGAGCAGGAGGAGAAGGAAACGATGGAGAGGAGGAGCAAAATGAGAGGGAAGAGCAGAGAGAAGGACCACGAGGAAGTCCCTGCCGCGCTTTTGAAGTTCCCATCAGGACATGGGAAACTCTCGGCGGCCTCGGCTCCAGCGCACGGCGATCGCCCGGACCATCTGGGAGCGCCGAAAGGGGGAAGGTGGTTCCTGACCCCAATCCATCGGCCGTTGAAAGTAGATATCTTTGGGTCCCCAGAACACAATCTACGTCAAGCGTCTTCCTAGGTCTGGTTTGGCTGTTGCCTGTTATTGTTTAGGCGGGCCCGAGCCCAATCTACTCTACCCGCCTTCCTACTTCACGTGTCTACCTACAGCAAAAACCCATGCCAAGAATCAACCTGCTCGCCTCCAGGGTGCCCCGGGTTTCTCGGGTCTCGATAGTTTTGCCATGGAAAGCGTGGCGTTCCCACACCAAAAATCGACGGACGTCCTGGGGCCTCAGGGTTGGGCTTCTTGTGGAAGGTCTCTTGTGGAGTGGCCTCCGCTGTATGACACCTTGGTAGGACTTGCATCGGAACTGGCACTGGAACCGAGGAGCTGAGGGCTGGTTGCATGCACAGAAACCTGACCTTCTCAGCCTTGTGGCTCCTTGGGGGGCTGGCGGACTTGTTATTGAAAGTTGGGCGCCCGTCTATTTTGTTTTTTATGTTGTCTCAGAGTTGGGTTTCTTGTGGAAGGTCTCGTCAGGACTGGCCTCCGCTGTACTTCTTCCGACCAGTGTGCAATCGACCATTCACCGCTGATCGGGGCCTGGGTGCCCCACCCTGCCGGGGAGCGTGCGGTCAGCGGCACCCTAGCATACTAATCTGGAGGTCGGATAGGGGTGCGGCATAAAGGGGTATGGTGCCAATCGTGGAAGTGGCAGTGCTATCTGCGATAGACAACAGCGCCAGATTCCTCTTGACATAAATTTAGCGCTACATCCCTTTATACCATGCCCTTTGCCTACCCCCAGAACTCAAACTATGTGTGCGTCGCCCCCCAGGGGCGACACGCGCTCCGAGAAGTCTTATAGTATATTCGTCGTGGCGGTTTCTTTCTGGCCGTACCGCTCGTGAAACGCTATACTACAAGATGGATATACTATTTGTTCGGGTCGGACGCGCGCCTCGAAGGATAACATATAGTACTAGTATGTCTTTGTGCGTTCCATGCAGTTTTGCCGTCAACGGGGGGTTACCGCCGATCTATATCGGCGAGGCGCTGTGGATTCCAGGCAGGTGTTTCCACCCCCAGCTTGGTTGTCTAGGCCTGCTGGATGGGGTCCGAGTAGATGGGATCGAAGGATCGCTCCGCACCGCCGATGCATCGGCGATGCGGCTCGATGTGGGGCCCGATTTGCTTCACGTCGACGTCGCCGATGTATCGCCGACGTCGACGATGCATCGCGGGTGCATCGCCAATACATCGCCGATGTATCGGCGATGCTGCGCGATCTTCCGACCCCATCTACTCCGATCCCATCTTGGAGGCCTCTAGGTTGATGGACAAAATCCTGCACCGCCCGCGCGACCAGGGCGCTGGAACTTGAACGCGCCCCCTGCCCCCGATTCAATGTTGGCTGGCATCGCCAACGGGGTGCAGAATTTTGGCCAGTCGGCAGATCGACACATCTGGGCGCAGCCCGCGAATGTCAATGCATGTCAAATTCAGGGCGCGGGGGGCGTCCACAAACATCCCTCTAAAAGGTGCAGGAGTTTGTCCATCAGCCGCCAGCCCCACCTTCGGCTCGTCTCAGGACCACCTCACCCGCACAGCGGACGAGCCGCGCCAAGAGGTCGTCTCGGACGCTCGCATCACGGCCATTCGGGAGGAGACCCCGACGGTGCGGGAGATCAGCCTGGAGGTGAGCAACCCCGCGTTCACGTTCCGACCAGGCAACTGGGTAGACTTCTTCATCGATGGATGCCCCAAGGTGTTTCCTTCGTCGTCCTCCTAGCCCTCCTTCTCCCCGCGAGGCAGTGACACCCATAAAGTCGGATCGCTGAATCAGGGTCCAGGTCGAGGCCGGAAGGGGTTCGGTGTTTTTTTAGGTTTGCATGCGTTCATTTGCTCTTTTGATGGCGAGCCCCGTTCGGTGTTCCGTTGTAAGTTTGGGCACACGCGGACTGGTTGTGTCGATCGGACCGGCTGGAAGAATGGCTCGGGTTCTCGCACCGTTTTCGAAATAGTTGCTTTTGATACGGGATGATGTTCGCAAGCTTTTGCGGGGTAAACGGCGGGCCTGTTAAGGTGCAGTTCCTCGCTCGAGCACCGCCCGTTCCTTAGGCCGCGCGGTTTGAAACTTACTAGCATTAAGCATTGCAGCGTTGACCACGTTACAACCCAGCTCCTCTCCCGGGCCATACCAGTTTCTTACTGGGCGCATGTTGGAACTCACGCCTTTATCCGCATGCAAAGATGGAGGCGTCAAGGTCCAGTTCCTCGCTGGAGCACCGCCAGTTCCTTTGGCGACCCCGCGTAAAGCCCACAAGCCTTCTAATGCAGCGATGGACACGTCAAGGCCCAATCGCGCATCATCAGGCTGCACCCCTAGGCATTGCTTCATGCCCTAGCCGCTAGGCTTACCCTGAGCCTAACCCTGGGCCTTACGCTCAATCTCGGTCTGCTCTTGGGCCCACTCCAAGGCCAAGGCGCCTTTAAAGGCCCCACACCTAGGCATACCAATAAGCCTCTCCTTCAATCGTACCTAAAGCTCACATGCCTCTTCTTGCCATGGGCAGAGAGGCTTGCCGTGGACAGGACATGGGGTTTGCCGTGGGCAGGCAGGATAGGGGCCTGCCAGTAGCAGGCAATGGGACGGTCACAGGCAGGCCATGGGCAGGCCATGTGTAGGCCGTGGGCAGGCCATGGGCAGGCCGGGCAGGCCATGACGGGTAGGCCGCCGTAGGCCATAATGGGTAGGCTGCCATTTACAAGGCACGGAGAGGCCACGGGTGGGCGATGGGCTGGGCATGGGAAGGTTATGGCATGCGCCAGGGATGCGATTTAGCTGCAAGTGGCCAGCCCCCCCAGATGCGGTCACGTCACGGCCCAGTTTCTCGCGCGAACCCTTCGGTTCTTTGCGCAACGCGAGCTGGGTTTCACGCGCATGGCCACGTAGGAAAGTGGCTATGTTAAGACCTGCTTCCCCGCGCGAGCTCTTCGGTTTCTTGCGCGGCGCGGATTGGGAGTCCCCGGCGCAACCAAACAGGACAGTTGCCGCATTAAGGCCCAGCTCCCCGCACGACTCCCTCGGTTCCTTGCGCGACACGAGTGGTCACGGTGAGGCCCAGTTCTTCGCACGAGCCCCTCGATTCCGTGCGATCGATGCGGGTTGTCGGGGATTGTCTCGACCTCCCCTGGCGTTATTTACTCGGCGTTCGCTGTTGGCGCTTCCGCGTCGTTTTTCAACCCGTACCCCCCCGTCCCTTAGGCCTCGACAGGGGGAATGGGGGGCGCGGTCATGTTGAACATGATGGGCAATGACGAGGAAACCCATCAAGGGAAGGGCTCGGCCGTTCCTTCGGATGTCATGGCTCAGCTTCGGAAAAGGGAGCTTCGCTCCTTGTCTACAGTGTCTCATTTCAGCAACGCCGCCGACGGCTCCACCACCACCTACCTATCAATGTTCTGCCCCCCCATTCCCTCCCTCTTCCCTCCCTCCAACCTCCGTCTCCTCCCTCCCGCCGCCTCTATCCTCCACCTCCGCCTCCAACCACCTCGCTCATGCGCCTGCGCTTGTGCCAGCCGCTTGTCATCCGCGTCGCTGGCGCGCCCTGCGGCCGAACGTGGGCAGGGGACTGAGGACAGAACGCATCACCGCGCGCCACCCCGATCATCCCCCCTCCGTCCTCACCCCGCCCTCCCTCTACATCCAGGCGTCGCGAAGCATCGGCGACCGAGTTTTCGTGGTTCGGGGCCTGTGGAAGCCCACTTCGACCCCAGTGGTGGGTCGGCCACGCGCAGGGGGGGGTAGGGGGAGGGGGGGAGGCTTCTTAGAAGCACCCCTGCTTCTTAGAAGGCGCTGGCCTTATCAAAAAATGTGTAGCCGGCGCTTTCTCAGAAGCAGCCTCCTTCTAAGAAGCCTTCCCCCCTCCCCCTACCCCCCTCTGCGCGCCGCCAGGTTGAGGAGGGGAAGCACACAAACAGTGGACATTGACTTGCCCCAGGGATGCGGCCGAGGGTTTTGCAGGCCTCTGCCCGGAAAAAGGTGTTGACGTCGGAGGTCTGAGTCCGTCGACCTCCCCACCTACGTAAAGCAACAAGAAAGGATGAACAGTCCCCACCTCACTCACTCACTCATGGCGGTCATGGGTGCTCCTGTAGTCATGCACACCTTTCCTGCCCCTCCCACCCGGCAAGGACCTGGGTTGGAGGGGGGGCTCAGTAGGGAAGAGGTGAGACAAAGGCAAACGAAGCGATGTAGAGAGCATCAGATCACTAACAACGAGGTGGGGGAAGGGGGAGGCGCCTGATGTAAAACAGCACAGACGGAGGGCCAAACCACCCCAAGGGCGAGAAGGCAAGCCCCTAGAGGCAGAAGCGGAGTCCCCACCTCCTCCTTCTCCTCCTCCTCCTCCGCCGCCTGTGTTTGGACAGACCTGAGATCAAACTCTTTGAAGGACCCTGTCGAGAGGACACCGACAGCTAGCGAGCCCTGTGAAGCCACATTGTCTGCGATGGCGAGGCCCTTCCACTGCGACTGGGATGCCCACCATACGCCCCGAGCGTGTCACGGGTATCTGTCAATGCCAAATGCCCCGTGCGACGCTCCTGCACACACAGCAATTTCAGCGCAGATTGTCCCAGACCCTCAGCACCCATCGGCAGGCGGCCCGTGCCTCCGAACTCATCAGTGATCGAAGACGGTGTTGGACCAGGCTGTTCCATCTGGCCATTCAGTATACTGTATTGCTCTACGTCTGAATTCAAGTAGCCAGTGCATCCCCACCTTCTGGCTGCTACGGTGGACATGTTATTGAATGCGTGACCCCAGGCCCAAGCCTTTTCCATATGGTGCTGGGGGGTGCGTTTGGAGGTGCCGCAATGTAGGGGGAGATGCCATCCTTCACTATGTATCTTGCCTAGCTGTCGTCCCCGTGATTTGTGCTTCTTCGCCTCTCTTCCTCCTTCGTGGGGATCGAACCCGCTGGCTGTGATCATTCCCCACCTCTTGGTGCCCCCCCCTGCCTGCGGTCAAGGCAAAGCCCACTGTGACGTCGGACCACGTTCCTCCTCCTCCTCCTCCTCCTCCTCTTCCTGCTCCTCCTCCTTGGGTTTGGCGTTTCTCCTCCTCCTCCTCCTTCTCCTCTTCTTCCTCCTTCTCCTCTTCCTCCTCCGCCTTGACAGGCGGCCATGGGTAACTTAAGATACGGGTCTGGGACTATGGCGGCCAGTCGCTCCCCCGTCGAAGGCCCCATCTTGCACGTCTCACACATCTGCTATGCTTGTTCTCCCAAACTTCGTTCAACTCTTCCCTCTTCTTCCCCTCCTCCCCTCGAGAGAGTCCTCTCCTCCCCTCGTTTACGCCTGTCGTCAAACCCAGTTAAACGAGCCGAACGAACCGCCTGGCCATGTCCCGTGTTCGATGCTGGTCCTGGCGCAGGCTTCGGCGTGGCGTTTTGTCTCTCCAAATATTTTGTTTTTCTTTCTCTCTTTCTCACGTTTCCCAGGGATCGGCAGGTCGTTATTGAGTTGAGGGAGTCGGCAGCTCTGCATGGGTCGGCGGAGCACCTTGTGCAGCAACGTTGGAGCCCGCCGTGCTGGCGGCAGCAGGAGGCCATCTGTCAGCTCCTCGCGGCTGTCGCCTCCTCGCGCCCGTCCCCAGGGGCTTCTTACCCTCCGCCGCAGCGGCGGCGCCAGAGACTGCAGACTCGGCGGCAAGCACGAGGCGCCCTCGCCCCCGGCGAGTCTGCGCCAGGACCCCGACCAGCCGGTAGCGGGCGAACAACGGTATAAGATATTTACCTAACAGCTTTTGCTGATAGGCTTCTAGTGGTGTCACAAGAGAGCATCTTGACGCCCCAGGGGGGTCTCAGTCTCGGGCGGGATCCGGACAAAACCGGACCAAAGGGTCAGCCTTAGGAACCTTTAGAAATCCTTGAGAATTCTTAGGAATCCTTAGGAATCCATTCCCAGAACACCATTCCCAGGCCACATCTCGAATGCCCGGAGCCAACTGTAGGCCACTTCGTGCTCTTCGTGCTCCCAGAACACCACTCCCAGGCCACATTTTGAATGCCCAGAGCCAACTGTAGGCCACTTCGTGTTCTTCGTCTTCCCAGAACACCATTCCCAGGCCACATTTTGAATACCCGGAGCCAACTGTAGGCCACTTCGTGCTCTTCGTGCTCCCAGAATACCATTCTCAGGCCACATTTTGAATTCCCGGAGCCAACTGTAGGCCCCTTCGTGTTCTTCGTCTTCCCAGAACATCATTCCCAGGCCATATTTGGAATGCCGGAGCCAACCGTGGGCCACTTCCTGATCTTCCTGTTCCAAGAACACAAGTCCTGTACCATATTTTGAATGCCCGAGCTGAGGCAGGCTGAGGCCGAGGCAGGCTGAGGCTGAGGCAGGCTGAGGCTGAGGCTGACGCAGGCTGAGGCCGAGGCAGGCTGAGGCTGAGGCTGAGGCAGGCTGAGGCTGAGGCTGAGGCAGACTGAGACTGAGGCTGAGGCAGGCTGAGGCTGAGGCAGTGGCTGAGGCTGAGGCTGAGAGGCTGACGCTGAGGCTGAGGCAGGCTGAGGCTGAGGCTGAGGCCGAGGCATGCTGAGGCTGAGGCTGAGGCAAGCCGAGGCAGGCTGAGGCTGAGACAGGCTGAGGCTGAGGCTGAGGCAGGCTGAGGCTGAGGCAGGCTGAGGCTGAGGCCGAGGCACGCTCAGGAGGCTGAGGCAGGCTGAGGCTGAGGCAGGCTGAGACTGAGGCCGAGGCAGGCTGAGGCTGAGGCTGAGGCTGATGCAGGCTGAGGCTGAGAGGCTGACGCTGAGGCTGAGGCAGGCTGAGGCTGAGGCTGAGGCCGAGGCAGGCTGAGGCTGAGGCTGAGGGCTGAAGCTGAAGGCTAGGCTGAGACTAGCCTGAAGCTGAGGCAGGCTGAGGCTGAGGCAGTGGCTGAGGCTGAGGCAAGCTGCGGCTGAGGCAGGCTGAGGCTGAGGCTGAGGCTGATGCAGGCTGAGGCTGAGAGCTGACGCTGAGGCTGAGGCAGGCTGAGGCTGAGGCTGAGGCTGAGGCAAGCGAGGCAGGCTGAGGCTGAGACAGGCTGAGGCTGAGGCTGAGGCAAGCCGTGGCAGGCCGAGGCTGAGGCTGAAGCTGAGGCATGCTGAGGCTGAGGCTGAGGCTGTGGCTGAGGCTGAGGCAAGCTGCGGCTGAGGCAGGCTGAGGCTGAGGCTGAGGCAGGCTGAGGCTGAGGCAGGCTGAGGCTGAGGCTGAGGCAGGCTGAGGCTGAGGCAGGCTGAGGCTGAGGCCGAGGCAGGCTGAGGCTGAGGCCGAGGCCAGCCGAGGCAGGCTGAGGCTGAGGCTGAGGCTGATGCTGAGGCAGGCTGATGCTGAGACAGGCTGAGGCTGAGGCTGAGGCAGGCTAAGGCTGAGGCAGGCTGAGGCTGAGGCCGAGGCAGGCGAATCCTTCGGAATCCTTAGGATTCCCTAGGAATCCTTAGGAATCACCAGGAATCCCTAGGAATCAGGATTCCTAAGGATTCCTAAGGTTTCCTAAGGATCCCTGTGGATTCCTAAGGATGCCTAAGGATGCCTTAGGAATCCCTCGGAATCCTTAGGATTCCATTGGATCCTAATGCCGTTGCCACTGCGACTGTCATTGCGAATGCGACTGCGACAGCGAGAACAGCAGAATTCTACAACTGGACTCTCACCTGAATCTTAAGGGGAATGCTTCCAGATATGCTTATACACATCGCTGTTAGGTTGCTTTGCCGGGATAATTTTGTTCGTTGTCGGGGGCGCTTGCTCCGGGGCGGCTGGAAAGTTTATATCTTGAGGTGCCACCGTAAGGGTATAACTTTTCCAGCCGCCCTTGGGACAGGCGCCCCCGTTCGAATCGCCTCTGCCCCGACTGCCTCCTGTTTCTCGCCCTCCGCAGGGCGAGGGCCCGGCTCCCTGAGGTGCGTCTCCCTTGCCGTCACGACATGCCCCAGCCGCCCCCCCCCCCCCCCGCGAATCTACGCCAGGACCCCCGCCAGCTTGTCCTGCCCCGACGCCTTCCGCAGGGTGGGGGCCTGGCTTCCCTGAGGTGCTTCTCCCGTGCCATCAAGACATGTCCGTTCGTTGGCAGCTGCTCCGGGCCTGCCAGTTTCTGCCGCAGCCCACGCCAAAGCGTTGGCGGGAGGGTGGGTCGCTTCAGGCCGCAAGCCCGCCCTCTGGCAGCAGCGGTGCCTCCTTGGTCGTGAAGACGGCTTCGACCGCTGGTCCATGCCCTCGCCCGCTTCACCTCCTCTCCCGTCCTGGCCACTTCCTGCCTGCCCGTCCCGTCGCATTCCTTGGCCTCGGGCGCGCCTCCGTCTAGACTGCGTCGCTGTCGCGAGCAGATGCCCATCGGTTAAATGGTTGGGCTCCATGTTTGCAGCAAGCTCTAGGCTCAATATGATGCATCGCCATCCCGCCGCGGCGACATCCCGGCCCACCTGACCCCGTCAAATTGTCAAGCTGGCCATCGGCGCCAGCCACTGAGAAGGCACATGCTGTCCCCAGCTATGTTCGCTCCTCCTGCTGCTCCTCCTCCTGCTCCGCCTCCTCCTCCTTCTCCTCACCCCTCCTCCATCTCCTCCGCCTCCCTCCCTCCTTCCCTCCCTGCCTCCGTCCCAGTATCATACCTCCTACCTCCTCCCCTACTCCGAAGGTTGGGGGCTACTCGATGTGCTCGGTGCCCGCTGAACTGCCTGTCCTCAGGCTCGCCGTGAAGCGGTCGCAGCACCCACCCGCAGCTTGGTGCCATTCCGAGGCGGCCCAGGGGGAGGAGGAGGAGGAGGAGGAGGAGGAGGAGGAGGAGGAGGAGGAGGAGGAGGAGGAAGAGGAGGAGGAGGAGGAGGAGGAGGTCCGTAGCCATGTTGGCTCAAGCCATGTTGGCTCAAATAGAAATTTGTCGAGAGCTGGCCAGGTCGGCAAATTCGGGCTGGTGGGTAGGCAGGCGGCTTAGCCTCGCCCATCTCGCCCATTTTGTCACCGCGACCCTTATGGGAGCTTCAGTCCGCCGTGAGTTCCATTATTCTCTGTCCTTTTTCTGACGGATGCGGTCTGCCAGCTTAGACAGACGCAGCAAAGGCCAGTGGAGAAAACCAATTATCCCCGACGGCGATGGGCGCATTGGAGGCGATGCTCACCTTCACCTCGCAAGCCACCACCCAAGGACAACGCCGACGCGCTGGAGGTGCTCCGAAGCAGCCGTTGCATCCCAGCGGTAGTGGCGATGATGTTGGTCTTCTGGGTTGTGACGCAACGAATGTCAAATCATACGTGGACACAACCAAAAACACACTCATGGTAGCCATCGAGCAGGCTACCGGAAGATATGGCATCTATCTTCTCTAAGTCCATCGAACACCTTGCCGCCACAGTTGGCATTTCGTGCAAGTCTCTTGGCGAACAGGTGGAGAGGCGCACGGCCAGTGTCGCGTTCCAAGTCGCAGCTCATGATGAGATATTCAATGAAGTGCACGGCAAGATGCCTAGGCCATCATGGTCGCCGAGGGCATCGACAGGCAGACGATCCAGCAGAGCATCGCGAGCCTCGTGGCAGGGCCTGAGCGACAGGGCCTGAGCCAGCGCAGTGGTACTAACACGTTGTTTGCGGCTTGTTGCCGCCAGCATCCTTCCCACTCCCCCATCCTGTTCGGCTCCTGGAACGCTCGCTCGCTTTTTCATTCCCCAAACAGCCTGCTGAACGGGGTGCTGTTGTGATAAAGGCTAACTCCGGCCGGGAGAAGCCAGAGCAGAGACATCCTCACAAAAATTTGGTGGTCCGGGCCGTTTCGCTTGAGACATCCTCACAATTCTCGTTTCTGAGTTGGCCAGGATTGGCCGTTTCGCTTGAGACATCCTCGAAAAGTTGCGCTCCGGGACGCCGCGCGAGAGGTGGTCCGGGCCGTTTCGCTTGAGACATCCTCGAAACTCTGAGCCCCGATGTGCCGTGCGAGAGGTGGTCTGGGCCGTTTCGCCTGACACATCCTCGAAACTCTGAGCTCTGAGATGTCTTGCGCGAGGTGGTCCGGCCCGTTTCGCTTGAGACATTCTCGAAACTCTGACCTCGGAGATGCCGCGCGAGAGTCAGAGGTGGTCCAGCCCGTTTCGCCTGAGACATCCTCGAACTTCTGAGCTCTGAGATGCCCTGCGCGAGGTGGCCCGGCCCGTCTCGCCTGAGACATCCTCGCAACTCTGAGCTCTGAGATGCCGTGCGCAAGGTGGTCCGGCCTGTTTCGCAAAGACATTCTCGCAACTCTGATCTCCCAGATGTCGCGCAAGAGGTGGTCCAGCCTGGGGCCCAGAAGACCACATGTTACATATTACTACCCCTGGTAACCTCTTCCTCTCCGTATCCTTCCCTGGACCCCTGGGGGAGCACGCTGAGGACAAATAATCCTCCCGAACTTCCTGAGGCTCTGAGATGCCCTGCGCGAGGTGTCCGGCGTCCTGGTCCGGGTTCCGGCCCGTCCTCACTGCGTGCCTGAGGAGACATCCTCGCAACTCTGAGCTCTGAGATGCCGTGCGCAAGGTGGTCCAGCCTGTTTCGCACAAGACATTCTCGCAACTCTGAGCTCTCAGATGCTGCGCAAGAGGTGGTCCAGCCTGGGGGCCCAGAAGACCACATGTTACATATCCCCCCTGGGACCCTGGGAGCCCCATGAGGCCCCAGAGAGCTTCAGGAGGCCGCAGGACGCCCAGGACAGGCCCCAGGGGTCCGCAGGAGATTCCCAGGAGGCTCCCAGGAGGCCCCAGGAGGCCCCCTATCAGAACGTGTCAAGTTAATACACATCCAGTGCCGATTCGTTGATTTTTCCTGCTCTACTGCCCCCCCTCCATTTTGAGGGGCCCAAGCGGCCACAGGTTAGATATCCCCCCTGGGAGCCCCAAGAAGCTTCAGGAAACCCTAGGTGGAGTTCAGGAGGCCACAGGAGGCCCAGGAGGAAGCCCGAGGAGGCCCTCAGGAGGCCCCAGGAGGCACCAGGAGGCCCCCGCAACTCGGAGCTCTGAGACGCCGCGCTCGAGGTGGTCCGGCCCGTTTCGCCTGAGACTTCCTCGCAGCACGTTTCGCCCGAGATACCGGCCCGTCTCGCCTGAGACATCCTTGCAACTCTGGGCTCCGAGATGCCGTTCGGGATGAAGAGGAGGAGGAGGAGGAGGAGGAGGAGGAGGAAGAGGAGGAGGAGGAGGAGGAGGAGGAGGCATGTTTTAACATGCCATGCCAGCCCGCACTGGACGGGCACGCAATCGACATTGGAAACCGCAGTGGGTCTAATTACGCTACCGAGGAACCCCACATACTTAATTTAAATCTTATGTGTTTGCTTATGTATAATATATTCCTCTTCCTATATTTTTACAAGCCCGGGCGGCCGCAAAACCCCGCACCCCCCCCCCCCCAAACCGGACTCCAGGGATCCTGGGGCTTTGGGACCCTCCGGACGCCCATTGAAGCGGTCCCGAGTGCCTCAAGAGCGCTCCAAGACAGGCACAAAGCGCTCCAAGACGCCAAAGATAGCCCCAAGACAGCCTCAGGAGCCCCCAAGACGCCCCAAGCGGCCCCAAAGAAGCCCCCCAAGACGGCCCCGGGAGGCCGAAATGGTCAATTTTCCAATGTGTTTTTCGATGTTTTCTGCTTTCTCGCCATTTTAGCTTTCCGACGCTCCAAGACAGAACTAGAGGCCCTCAAGAGCGCCCCAAGATGGCCCGGGGGCCCCCCAAAACGGCCCCAACACGGCCCCAAAACGGCTCTGGAGCGCCCCGAAACAGCCCAAGAGGCGCCCAAGAAGGCCCAAGAGGGCCCCGAGAAAGCTTCAAACGAGCCCCCACAGGGCGATCAAAAGTTCAAACATCTAACTTTCCGCCCCAAGTGGGCCCCAGGAGGCCCCAGGAGGGCCCCAAGAGGCCCCAAGAGGCTTCCAAAGGCCCCGAGGACTCCCAAAAAGAACCCACGAGGCCCCAAAATGGCTCTCCAAAAGGCAGCCAAAACGGCCCCCCAAGAGGCTTCAAAACTGCTCAATCGCCCCACTTGACCGCCACCTCCGGAACGGCTTCGCTGCGCTGCTCCGTTGTTTGCCAGACAGTGGCATCCCACGCAAAACACCAAAATGCTTGAAATCCCGGGTTCGCAACCAAATTCCCGGGAAATCGGCTGCGAACCCGGGATTCGGCACATTTCCCCGGAATTCGGTAGATGTCCTTAGCATTTCCAGGATCCGGTACGTTGCCTGCATGCTTGCTGCCCTATGCCCTATCGCATCCCAGAATAATCGTTCCATGGAGGTTTCACGAGGGCCCTTCCAAGTCATTAAGGAAACATTGTTTTCCACGCGTGTTCGCACACATGCATCCGTAGCCGTTGGCTTACATTTTTAAGCTGTCGCATACGGCACATCCTCGATGTCTGTATTCGCTTGCTTCGATTGTGGCGAGACCCTGCCTGCAGAATCATTCTCCACAACACAACTTCAGCAGTCCAATCGGGCTTGCAAGTCGTGTGCCAGTCGACGGGAAACACAGTCACGGTCAGCCCCCCAACACAAAGACTATCAATGCACTCGTTGCGGGGACATGCACGATCGAACTCACTTCAGCCCTTGCCAGCTGCACCGATCCACTCGGACGTGCAAGGCGTGCGCCACTGACGGCCGTCCGAAGCAAGACCTCTTCTCCTGCACACGCTGCGGAGAGCTCTGGGACAGGACCCACTTCGACGCGAGGCACCTCAAAGCACGCAGCACTACGCGGGTTTGCAATTCCTGCAATGCGTGCCTTACCTTACCTTACCTCATGATATTCCTCCCTTCGCCGCGCCTCCCCAAATCGTCCTCCACTTCTTTCCCGCCCCTTCTGTCCGACGTTTTGTCTTTCCGGAGCCTCCACGGCCGCTCTCATCGCCGCTGATCGGTCCGCTGGGACATTCTCATGGAGTCCCAGTGGCGCGCGGACCAGCAGAGCGAGAGCGCGAGCAAGTAAGGTGCAGGTCCGGGAACTGGGCGCGAACCGGCCGCGGTTCAAAGACCGTGGAGGGCCGCGCTAGACGCCAACGCGCGCAAGGGTTGAAGGACCAAGGTGCATGGCGCGAAGCGCCAATGCAGTCTTGTATATATATATATATATGTATATATATATATATTTATGCACAATCCGGCGTTCTGGGCCCTCGTCGCGAATGTTCCCTGCTAGGCTTTGCGCCAGTGTCGTGGATAGCGGCCGAGCTGAGAGACCACCCCCTGCGCACCCCCTGTGGTGTCGAGAAAGTGCCACGCCTGCTAGGCTTTGCGCCAGTGTCGTGGATAGCGGCCGAGCTCAGAGACCACCCCGTGCGCACCCCTGCGGTGTCGAGAAACTGCCAGCCCTGCCACCTTTGCGCCAGTGTCGTGGATAGCGGCCGAGCTGAGAGACCACCCCCTGCGCACGCCCCTGTGGTGTCGAGGGAAAGCGCCACGGCTCAAAACCTTTAGCGCCAGTGTCGTGGACAGCGACCGAGCTTAGAGGACCAAACCCCTGCCCCACCCCTGTGGTGTCGAGAAAGTGCCACGCCTGCTAGTCTGTGCGCCAGTGTCGGATAGCGGCCCGAGCTGAGAGACCACCTTGAGTGCACCACATGCTGTGTCGAGAAGGTTGCACGCCTGCTAGGCTTTTGCGACAGTGTCGTCTTCCGATATGCGGCCGAGCTGAGAGACCACCCCCTGCGCACCCCCTGTGGTGTCGAGAAAGTGCCACGCCTGCTAGGCTTTGCGCCAGTGTCGTGGATAGCGGCCG